AGCTGGGTTTACCAGTTGCCCCGGCAACCAGCACCTGTGCAGCCCTGGTGACTGGCAGCTGAGCCTCCCCCTTTCTGCCACTAGGGGTCTCCCCAGAGCAGTCTCCACTCTCAGGCGCAGGGCACCTGAGTGCACTGCAACACATGGCTACACAACTTTTTAAAATATAATATAAAACAAAATTTTCATCTATTTGACAGCATCAAAATAAATAATGGCCTCCCTTCACTGAAGACAGATGAAATTAAAAAAAAAAGTGTAAGGTCTAGACGGGCGACTCCTAACAGGATATGGAAATGCTTACCTCTAAATCCAGTGCTTCAGATTTAGCCCAGATTAGGAGCAGTTAAAAATGAAAATATATCATTACTCTTCATTAGTCTACATAAATTGGTAACCACAGTAGGCATTTTTACAAATACATGCTCACATAACAAAAATCACTACCACAGTTGGTAAAAGGGCTTGATTTGCAAAAAATAACAGAATGCCCAACTTTGAAAATTAGTTCTTGTTCAAGCGTTTCAAGTTGGGCACCCAAAATTGATCCATCTAAAGATCTCCATAACTTAGGAAATCTAGCTCTATACACCTTTTTCTTCCATATACATGCATTAATTAAGATTAAACAGGTTGGATAAACATCACATTTATTAGGGCACGAGATAATATACCTACAGGTGGCTGGCCGTATAAAGTAACAGACAATTCATGGTACATAATGATGCCATAATCCAAGACTATACAAAAGGAAGAGAGTAAGAGCAGTACTACAGGACACCCAATTTCTGAACATGCATTTAGGTAAACATATAGGATGGTAATGTCAAAATGACTTGATTATTAAAGAAAAACAATAAAACCTACACATCTAATTTAAAACTATAACGTCATAGCAAAATAATTAACAACTTTGGAATTATATAACTGATTAAAGAACAAATAGAAAACTTGCAGCTGTAGCACAGTTGTTCTCAACATTGTTAGACACAATGTACTCCTTGTTAGACTCAAGGCACCCCTTGAGATATTCCAGCTCTTAGTATTCTTTCGTTTTTTCAATTATGGAAAAATAATAGATCAATTCTTCTGTTGCAAATAATTCAGAAAGACTGCAACAACTCAGAATATTTTTATCACTACAGTGTCACGGGGGCACTCGGGTGCCCCGTGCCTAAGTAGGGATTAGGGCCTCTGCTAATTACCAGGGCAGCTCAGGTGCTGGTTGCTGGAGCAACCAGGTTGGTCAGGTGACCAGAAGGGGGCATGGCCGGGCCCTTATAAACAGCCCAGGCCGGAGCCTGGCTGGTAGTTCCCTGCTGGCAGCCAGAGGAGCAAGAGCTCTGCAGCGGAGCTGAGCTGAGTCGGGCAGACTGCTAGAGCGAGTAGCTGCATCATGGCAAGGGGGAAGAGAACCCTGACCAGGAGGTCTTACTGGAAGGCCAGGTGGGGCCTGGACTTTAAGTTATAGCCGGTAGGCTTATTGTTCTGTTACAGCCGGTTGGCTTATGGTTCTGTTTAGTTTGTTGTGTATATAACTGGAGGACCGGGTGAGGCTGTAGGGGTGTGAGGAGGCCTCACAGGAGATCCCCAGTAGTCTGGGGGGGTTTGCTGGGTGCCCTGTTTGGGCACAGAGCAGTGCCTGGGAGGCATGGCTGTTTGGCACCGGTGTGGTACAGTGTGTGGGGGTCAAGACCCCAGCCCGAGGGCGGTATTAGGCCTAGTCGGGCGAGAGACCCTGAGAAGAGTCAGGGGGCCAGGCACGGCTACGGCCCACCTGAGCCCTGAGAGCGGTTGAGCGGGGTATAGAACCCAGAGAGGGCAATAGCGCAGAGAGCGCGTGTATAGACCCAAGTGTGGGTGAGTGTACGAGGCCGGAGTAGGGCAGGCACGTGGTTAGAGGTCCTAGGCAGGGCTGGAGCGTGCGGGTGAGGGCCTGAAGAGGGCGAGTACACTAGCCGAACCCCAGAAGGGGCACGACCGGGCTTGTACAATGAGGGCGCGGGACAAGCCCCAGAGAAGGGCGAGGGCGCGAGAAGCGCGGGACAAGCCCCAGAGAAAGGCGAGGGCGCGAGAAGTGCGATTAAAAGCCCGGAGTAGGGCGAGCGCATGGGTGGAGGCCTGAGGTGGGCCGGCGTGTGCAACAGAGCCCGAAGAAGGGTGAACACACAAGTAGGCCCCAGAGAGGGGCAAGGGCTAGTGAACACAGGGGCGCTAGAGCAAGGGGCGTAGGTTGCATGACAAGCCCAGGGTGCCAAGCAAGGCACAAGTGACCAGACAACGTCCGGAACAGCTGCAAGGCTTGGGGCATGCTAAAGGGGAGGTAGGAGGCACGCATAGCCCATAAGGCTGGGGTTGCACCAAGTCACCCCATCCGGTAAGGGGGGCAGTATAAGCAGAGCACTGTGTCCAAGGGGATAGTAAGGCAGCCTCCCATATAAAACTAATTATACCAACAAGACATGGCGGGCGAGAATCGAGGGTGCTGGATCGCTCACTTGGCACGGCAGGGGGCGCTAGCGGGATCACGGCCACTCCTAGGGCCCACTCCATGACATACAGATTCCAATTCCAAATCTCTGGGTTCATCTTGTGAGTCATGTTTGCAAACCTAACAGTGCTAACATTGCATGGCACCCTGTGGCACCCCTGAAAGGCTCTCAAGGCACCCTAAGATGCCATAGCAACCCTGGTTGAGAAACATTGCTATAGCACTTGAGAAGGGAAAGGAAAACAGAAATAAAAATTACCTCTCATAAAAGAGGTACACTAACTACATAAAGTGGACTATAAATGAAGAAGAAAACCAAAAGAGAAAACAAATTGTGCCTTAAGGATGGCATTCTGTTAAAGAATGATTTATTCTGTTCATTCAGTGTGGATCTGTTTTGAAAAGTGGTTCTGTAAAAAAGGTATGCTGGAACTTCATGCTTGGAGCCTCCAACTAACTTCATGTCAAACATGCTCCAATCTCAGCTTTAAGAGTCAAGCTAGATTTCTTGTCTCAGACTTTACCACCTGAAACAAGGGAAGTGCAGGCCAGATCAGACTTCAGTGACATCTGTTCAGTCTGACTGCCTTCAATAATTTGCAAAGATAGGATTGGAACTTAATGCAGAATTCTGTTGATGATCCACAACAGATGATGAGCTTCCTCAGCTCTGCCTGTCACAGACCTAACAGATATAATGAACAATTACAACTTCTTCTTGATGCTGAAATCAGGAAACACAACTCTAAATAACAGAGAAACAACAGACCTGTTGAGTAAGATCTGTGCTTGTTTCAGAGTCATTTTTCAGAATAGCAATTAATCCATGGGAAACCTCATCATTGTCATTTTCAGTAACTGCAAAATCACCCTAGCTTATGAAGTTCCCTCCACCTACTAAAACTTTTTTCATAAATATATTAAATAGCACACATAGATAGTGTGCTACTACTTTTTAAGATGATACAGCAATAATACTATTCTTCAACTGTTGGGCCATAGATAAAGTTTGCAAGAAGTACAATAATTATAGTATTTGTACAGTAAATTTGAATGCTGTACAATAAATAAGTGTGAACATGGTCAAGATAAACAATAATTCAGGAAGGTCTAAAGCAGTGGTTCTTGGTTGCTTTTAGATTGACACCCATCATTAAACTAAAGCCACCCTTTTGTTAAACTCAAGATACCGCTTGGAAAATGCCAGCTTTTAGATTTCACTGATTTTTAGACTATGGAAAAACTGCAGAGCAATTTCCTTTGTGAAGAATTTAGAAAGAGCACAACAGGCAGGTCAGAATGTACTTAGCACTATGGATTCCTATTTGAAATTTCTGGTTTTATAGTGTGAATCATGTTTATGCACCTAAGAATACATCACTGAAAGGAGTGGAGAGCATCCCCTGGCTGAGACTCTCTGTTAAAGAATACTTTAATTTGAAAGAAAATATTCATAGTTGGTTAATTTTCTACCTTCAGAGGATCTTAGCTTTGTATCATCCTTCATGTGCACAGACTCACTAATTCATGTTACACATATGACCATGCTCCTAAAGCTGAGTTGGTTGCCTCACAGGGAAAGCAGAATTCTACAAAGACTTTAGAGTTCAAAGTGAAGGTGAGAGAAACTAAAATATCTGCTATTTATAACTATCCCATAATAAGGAAAATATATATTTGTAAATTTCTGCAATATGCAGTACTTTTTTCATTCAGTACATTTTGACAATGATTTTGGCAATGATTTTGACATTCCAACATGCATCTGCAACACGGCAAATACAACAGCACTGTAATATTTTCAGCAACTATTTCACAGAATGAAAACAAAGTGTAGTCTTGTCTGCTTCACTTTCTACTGCTCTAAGTATGAGTTAATGAGGACAGAAGTCAAAATGAGACTGTTCTTTTTCTAGAAACAATCTTGCATAATCTTATACATACCAGGAATTTTTCACATGTGAGTAAGACTACTTGAATATGAAAGGCTACTTACACAGTGCAAATCTTTTTGAATCCAGGTCAGAGTTTCACAGTTGGTAGGGTTGAAAGGGACCTGAGCAGATCACCAAGACTGACCCCCTGCCATGGCAGGAAAGAGTACTGGGGTCAAACAACCCCAGCAAGGTGATCATCCAGCCTCCTTTTAAAGACCCC